CGCGACTGGTTCATGTATGGACGGTGGGCATAGCGGCGATAACGCAATTTGCTTACACGGTCTCTCTATTCTGTCCGTTACGAAAAGTGGAACAATTTTAGTACGGCGCGCCAAATTTACAGTTCGGTGGTTCTGGCGACAAACTGTTACCAAATAGTTACAGCGAGCGCCAGTTATATCCCAAGGTTAGGTAGATAGGTATTGAGGGCTGAAACCTCGATGGATTTCGAAGCTATCGCTAGTGCTCATTGGCCTACCAGGAAAGGAAACGTGAAAGTCAGCCCTTGAAAGGCCTTTGCGGATTTTACGCAAGACTTGGCCTGAGATGAAATATTGCATCATGACTTTTCCACGAAGATTTTCGCTTTCTCCCCCTCCCCATCTACTGGTACTACAATTCAGTGGAATAGTATAGGTATGAATAGACTGAACCCTGATTTGGCCCCATTTCGAACCTCATTGTTGCTGTACAAACAACTTGAAAGTATAGAGCATCATTCGTTGATCAGTTTCCTTCCAAGATTCGTCTTCATTTGGAACTTTAAAGGAATCCGAATGAGGTCCCTTTTGATCTGGGTCTATAGAGTTGCTCGTGAGGGTCAGTCGGCAATTAGTCTCTTATCTGCCCGGATAACCTCGTCTAGGTACATCTAAAGTAAGGAACTTGATCCCATCTCCGTCACCTTACCCATCTAAGGTAAGCTCGTGAATTACCACTGAGAAACCTCCGCCCTATAACTTCGGTTGTTTGAGACGGCACTCAAGTGAAGCTTTTCTTGAGTTACGTCATTCAGTCCCACGAGGAATCGCTAACGATCGTGGGAATGAATGACATACGCGAGCACTACATGAGCCTAGCCCCATCATAGTTGCATAACTACGCATAGTGCGTGGATATACAACTTTGACGCTGATGTAGACGAAGATTAAGCGCATTATCCATCAAGGCCAACGAGTTTCGATAGTGATTCCATTAGGGCTTCATCAAGAATGACCACTTACATATTAATGAACTTCGTAATGAACTCAATTTCACGGTTGCCCACACATATTGTGGCCAGAGTGCGTGCTTATAATCGAAGGATTGGCATACACCCGCTGTACAATATTGTAGGAAGTTAGCTACTCTAACAGAAGCACCAATCATCGTCGGCTCCCCAAAAGGTCTGACCAACGCGAGGCGGTTCATCCCTCTTCTCTGCTACGTTGATCCATTTGGCAGGGGCACTGCTTTGTGCTGTTTTTATTTTATTTTAATAATCAAGTTCATTTTTACACTAGTATTTAATCGATAAAGTGCATACAAACAGAACGCAAATAACAAATAAAGAGCAGATTACAAGTGGAGTAGGCGAGGAACCTAGGTAGACACTCGTAAGAAGAGCACAGGTGTAAGGCTAAGGTCAGGACCGGAGAATAAATGCACACCACCGGTTGCACACACAACTAGACGAGAGATAGAGGTCTGAGACTCAAATTCTGAGAAAAAAAATCCCTTGCGAAGTCGCTCAAAGTCCTCTGTAACGTAAAAATTCGACAGTTATCTCGTACTTTTTTCGAAGCTGTGCTTTGAGAAAGATCGCTATCACCTCTGGCGAATGATTCTGCTTTCAACAACATCAGGGTTGTTTTGTGCTGCTAATCATGGTAATATGATTAGAACTCTAGCTTGAACGTCATTGGATCCCAAAAGCCTTCCCTGAAGTCCCTAACCTGTCTGAATAAAAAGTAAGGGATTAAGCTCAGATTTGACTAAAGCTTACTTTGGACACGTCAGGCATCCTACGGCCAGGCAGAGAAGACATTTGGGTGCTAAACCTACAAGCTACAAGCTGGTTTTCGGCCCCGGCTGATGTGAAAGTTATACAGAGTTTCTATCCACACTCTGACGAGTCTAGGACCGATCAACCGACCCTTAATACTGGGAACACGGTTGGTCGGCGCAGGATTCGATCCAGATTAGACCGCTGAACCAGAATCCCTTCTAACCAACCATTTCGTGTCTTCAAACCCTCTTAGAGACTCAAGTCATAAACTCATGTGAGCCCATTAAAAATAGCAAAAACATAACAAAAATAAAATCAAAAAAACTACTGAAATAGATCATTCCGAAAACGCGAAGAATAAATGCCAGAATCGAGAGATTAATCCGTTCGTACTTGGCTTCTAAGTGGTTACGTTTTCGGTGCAAAGCTGTTTGGCGTGACAACTTTGGTTTACGGAGTGCAGAGGGGTCTTGAGGCCTAATGCAGTAGGAAAACTCAGGAAGAAAATAGAAACATTCCATGTCACTACGGATCTCTCCTTCCCTCAAGGCTTCGTTCAAATCAAGCGTCACCGTAAAAACAAGGTGCATCAAACTAGTATTGCACCTTTTTTGCCTATGTCTGGGTTCTCGCTGCGTCGAGCAGGCTTCTCGATAAGATCTTAGGTTATTTGTAATCGAATTAAGACCTCGTTGAAAAGAGTCATTGCTGATGATTCACTACTGACCAACTGTCAATCAAATTCTCTAAGTGAGTGACATGGAGGGTAGGTCGCAAAATGCGATTTTGTAATTGAATTTAGGAGTAGTACACGGGCGTCGTGAAGCAACTGTATCCAGTCATATTTATTCAGCTGTTATAATTATTATTTATATAATTAATCGTTAGCTGTTTATTTCAATCAAAGTCATGTTTCATATGGCAAAAATGGTCATTTGTAATTTTCGAGATCTGAAATTGTGCAGTACTTTTTGTGTTCCTTTTAGAACATGAATAAAAGCACTTCCCCTTTTTCGCTTCTCTTTTTCGTTCTTTCTGGTAGTTTTGTGAAAGTACTACTGAAGTTTTAATAACGACGTCCTAATAATCGTAATGTTGACAAGTTACGTTAAGTGCACATTTTTCACGCTTGAAAAGATGCTGCTGCATTGGCATATCCCGGAAATTTGCATAATTATACGAATAATTGCCAACTGGACCAAATCGCTGCGCGACGACACTGCTTATGACATTGTAGATGACTTGAGTGATTTGCGCATAATAATATTGGAGGGATGGTTCCATGCAGGAGTGGAGTCATTTTTCGCGATGGATTTTGTTACTTGATCACAAAAATTCGATAAAAAAGGGTTGGGCCGTTTCGATAGTTCCGGCTTCCATCTTGAACTGCATTAGGCGATCAGCAACCTTTTCCGTACCAAAGCGTCACAGGGCAGCAGAAAGGCGGAGAACGCCGAAGGCAGGACACAAAATGCTTCTTCACTCGAAAAGGGACTACTCAAGCCCGATAGAATGTCTTATATGTATCACCTGTCGAGTTTCAGCGAGATAGAGCGAGGCGGAATATTGCAAGATTTTACCTAAATAGCCTTGATTCATTAGAGAGACTTTTATTTGCAAATGGCATCTGAAAAGGCCGTTGTCTTTTTCGAGCGCTTCCTGTCATAAAGGAATTTGAGAGAAACATCAACGAAATTTACTTCAAATTGGTTGTTGCCAGAGTCAGTTGCTTTAAAAAATCTCGTTTTCCGACTTGGGAAGGGGAGGGAGGAAAGGAGGGATGGGAGTCGCACTCGAAGTGTTGAGCAAGAAGGATTTTGTATGTGGTGAAGGAGACAGTGATGAATTTCTGAATTGTTGGTGCAAACAGGATTGTTTAGGGATAATTTTTAGGGCTTCTTGGAGTCTGGGCCTTTTAGCAATTCATGTCCACTGTAACGGTTGTTAGAGGCAAGCGAAAGTCGTTGAAAGTAAGAGACAAGGGCAATGTGAATGCTGTGGGTAGGCGATGTTGGAACAAAGTGTAGGCGATGGAGCGCTTTTGAGAAATTTCCTCTTCGTCATTCTGACCGTAAATGGCGCCCGTAATGGAAAAAATGCGAGATTAATTTTTTACTCTCGGTGGGATGTTTGTTTTATTTGGCTTCTATGACTATCGTTATTAATATGTATCACGGTAGGACGGAAGTGGTGTAGCAGGAAAAAGGTGGTATAATAACAAGTGGCGCAACGCTCAGTCAAAGGATCAATTTCTGGACAGACCAACCAATTCCACCCGGGTTTAATTAATTGGTACAAGACGTGCATAGGTATATAAGGGTTCGGTTGTACGTTGGCTGGTCCAGGGAAGTCATTGCAAATTTCTGACAAGATGCATAAATGCCACTACGATTCTGAGTAGAAGCAGGGTGCGCGGCGCATCCCAAAAAGGGACTGGATCTTTTGCCTTGCTGCACGTAACATCTCATCCATACATAGTTGCCGCTACAGTATTTTCGTGTGATTGCCTACCCCAGTTAGCGATGATTCAAGGACTTGAGACAGTCCACCTGCTGCATAATACGGTAATAGCGGAGGTCTTGCTATTGTAGGTGTGTGGTTTCAAAAGCTATTTATGTGTGTGTGGTTTTTTTGGAACGGCTCCAAATTGTCGCTCTATGCCCATACAATTCGCCACTTAATGCGATTCGCGTACAGTAACGGCGATCCGTGATTGAAAAAATCGCCGAATTGCCGGTTTCTTTTGTCAAAGATTAGAATGTTCATTAAAGGAAGATGCTTATCTTTGAACTGCTAAGTCGGCTGTCGGGGAGTAATAGGGCGCTTAATGTCGAGATTTATGACATCGTTTCTTCTGGTCGTTGAAGTGAATGGTATTGGAAATACGAGTTTGAACTTGGCACGCATTTCTTCATTTCTGGCCAGGAGAACTCCGGTGTTCATTTTAAAATAGAACAACAGCGCTCCTGGTCCATTCTGCCTATCTAACGATGTTTTCATACGGACATACTGAGGATAAAACCAGCGGATAGCAAAAGAGTAAACAAAACACAATCAGAACAAATTGCACACTCTCCCATCGTACCAGTTCTTGCAGCGCTGTCATAACCTCGTATCAGCCGACCCCTCGAAGCCGCCAGCGAATGTTGCTGCCGGATTCATATCACCACAGGCGCTATGTTGAAGTAGGTTGGCGTCGTGGCGGTGAAAAGAACAAAGCAATCTGGTATCGAAATGGAGAAGAAGTTGGGATTGTGTCGAGGTAAGTAGCGCATCCTTTGAATTGGAGCCCAATGATATCGTCTTAAGTACGATACATTCTTTGGTAGCTGGTTGCTTTCAAATGCTGTGAATAATACGTGAAGCTTTTTTTCTGACAAAAATTCGTTTTCCCTAAATACATAATAATAACTGAAATGAAAAGAATGGAAATAAAAATTTAATAATTAATAATTCTCAATAATAATTTCCAAGCAACAGTTCTTGAAAATCGCAATAGTAGAAGAATATAGGTAGGTGGGCGTGGCCAAAAATAGTTTTAAGTAGAATCGAAAGTTGTTAGGTAGCCGCCATGAACTTAGACTGGCAGTGACAGTAACTGCTATAAAAATGCCGTGTTTTGATCCTTTGAAGTAGCGCGGACGACTTCGCGGCTAAAAAGGCGTTCATCCTGTTTATTTGCGAAACAGTCTATGAACACATCACGGCTTAGTCGGCTGACTTTTTCGCGTCCGGTCTTCTGGAAACGTAATAGGGGGGATAAGTTAATATGATTTAAAGTCCATCTTTTTGTACATTTTTGCCTTTTCGTAGATTATGGGATGTCTTGAAAACATCATTTTCAGTGACACGAATGCGATTTTTGAGAATCGGAGCTATACCGCTGAACAGCCTGTACCTGAAGTTGGTTTTCCTCATAATGAGCAACATATCGAAAGGTGAATATTTATGTTGGCTTTATTGCAGTTCTGAATTATTCAGGACTGCGTTCAAGCAATTATAGCAAAAATTAGAGAATATAGAAGCACTGGTGGATAATTCGTTACAAATGGTTATTAATAGTAATTGGGATGGATTGGAGAAGAGATCCAACAGATTTTAATCATATGATGGTACGCCCGACCGTAATGAAAGGCAGTCTTTCACTTGCCTGTGAAGCCGTACTTAAAAGCAGCGATTATCGTAGAGGAGCTGCATGCGGGCCAAGCATTCAATGCACCACACCCCACCCTTAGTCTGGCCTCCAGGAAGCAAGTGTAGCGCTTCCCCCGCACGAAAGGTCGCTGCATTGCTGCGTAGACTTCGAAAACGCTTCGCGCACCCATAAAGCGATCCACCCCACTAGTTCACCTGTTGATTTTGAACGAGTAGGCGTTGCCATCAAGCTTCACCAACTAGACAACTCGATGTCAGCTCGCTGCGTTTGCGCTATGCGATCTACAACCCCGTTGCTGTGAACCTCGCTTCATATTCCCGCTTTTTCCGCCCCGCTGCTCCCGCTGTTCACCGAGTGACGAACACAACCGGTGCAAAGAAGGCCCGTTTTGCATTTCTCTTTGACCAGGCTTCTCTCTACTTTTTCGCGCACTGGGCGATACCACTGAGCACTACCACGTCCCTATAAACCCTTCTTGAACCTATCGCAATCGCTACCTTTAAGCGAATGGCGACATGGCTTATTGCCACCTAAGTGTTGAAGTTCAATGAAAACTACTTAATTTAGTAATTGGGCGGGGTAGCGGTGCAAAATCAGCTTTCGGCCCGCAGGGTATTTGCGATTGTTTTGATCATAAGGAAATCGATAGTTGGTATCCCAACTGGAATTCGCTGCTCGATACGACCTACCTCTGTGCTTCAACAGGAGATGAAATCCATAAAATAAGCGTTATGAATCTCAGCCAGGCAAAAACTGAAACAGAACTCACCAGCACAGCATAAAAGCATGGATTTGGGGAATAATATGCCCCCCGTAGCTCTTGTGAATTTTTTATGATATCATCTAAACAACGCCTCCCAAACCTTGACGCGACAAACTGCAAATAACTATACCGTGCTCAGGAACATGCTCATTAAGCTTGAGGCCTTCAACAAGCACGAAGTCATTAGTATGCAAAATTGAGAGGTTTGCTGGCCATCTCATGTGAATCATTCGTTCTTTTTACAGATGACGAAGGTTTGTATTGGTGTCGTCACGCAGCGTCTGGTGTTGCTGGCGAAGTGTTCTCGTTGAAAGTGGCATATGTGGACCCGATACCATCCGACAGATACATAAAAGTTCGTGGTCTGAGGTTAGAAATTTTCAATAATCCATCTCGTTCATTTTTCTGTATCAAATCAATTTATCATTCTCGGCTAGATAAGTTTAGGGTGGGCCAAATGCATGGCACCGGCGGGTAACCCCAGGAGGCCCGTCGCGCGGCAAGGAGTCATCGGACGAGTTGCAGCGCGTGGTGTGCGACTATGGGACGTGCAATGGGACACTCTATTTAACATACGCGAAATCCCCTATAGTGCGCGCGCGACTCTTCCGCTTGACTTTGCCTTTCTTGCCGCGCGACGGGCCTCCTGGGGCCGTATGCTATCCTTCCCCGAAGCTAGGTGATCCAAAGTTTCCTTTAAATTTATTTGTTTTGAACGATATAGTTTCTTCATTTTCAGTGCATGTTTACTTTTACCTACATACATACATTAAATGTAGGTCCTTTATCAGGGCAATCCCAGATGGGAAGACAGAGAAAATTTAAAGGACTTTCGTCCCCCAACCAGGGTCAACCGTCACGTTCGAACATTTTCAGGGTTTTTGCGACCCCCTTTTCTCAAGGGGGTCACCCCCTTATCTCAAGGGGGTCCAGTTGCGACCCCCTCTTAGGTAATGGAAGTGCCGAATGTGCTGACTAAATGTTAAGTGAAATATTTATTTCACTCATTTTACTTCAAAGACAGTGAACTAAAACCTTTTAAAGACAATGAACTTCCATGACATAGAACAAAACATTTGAATATTGAATTCTTCACTGGCATTTGAATTGAATTCTTTTCAAAAAATCATTGAATTTTTTTCAAAAATTCAATGATTTTTTGAAAAAAATTCAATTCAAATGTTCAGTAAAGAATTCAATATTCAAATGTTGTGTTCGTAAGTTCGTAAGTTCATTGTTTTCAAATGGACAATGAACTTCCATGAAATATGAACAGAACATTTGAATATTGAGATCTTCACTGAAATTTGAATTGAATTGTTTTCAAAAAATCATTGAATTTCTGAAAAAAATTCAATATTTTTTTCAAAAAAATTCATGGATTTTTTCTTACAAAAATTCATTGGATTTTTTTTTCAAAAGTCTTCATAATAAGAACTAATTTTTTTCTAATCATCTTCTTGCTGTATTGGAGCTGCATTGCTGTTGAGAAATCTAAAAGAAATAATAATCACCTTATTTCTAAGTGAAAATTTTGTTTGCAACTTTGCTAAAATTCTTGATAAAAGCACAATGCGCGGCATGCGAAGAAGTACTGGACGCATGTTGCCCAAAACTTCAAACTTCATGCTTCCGAAAGAATCACAAGAGCAGTTCAAGGGAGTAAATCAAAGAGAGTTACGTTCTCCATCAATGCATCTCCTAAGATGAGCCCCAAAGGAGCAAGAATCACAGGGCACTGGCTAATGAAAGCTATTTTTTATGGTTAGCCTCGCGAGATCAAAATTTTTGTTCGCTCACAATCACGCCAAAATGAGGATGAAAGCGAAATGTGTAAGACCAAATGGAGGGATATCCAACAAGTAACATGAAGACTGACGAACTTCTGCTCAAACAGCTGAAAAAAGAGGAAGGATTAAAGAAGAGTAGGACTGACATGATTGCGTCAGAAACCGCCGCAGAAAGCGTTTGCGTTGCGGCGTCAACCTTGGAGCGCGGCAGGTATCACCCGGACGCTGGAAAACTGGGACGCGGCGAAGAAAAAGTTTTAGGAGAGTGTAACTTTCTTGAGACGTATTTGTTTCACTTATTGAGGTAGGTTTAAACTGTGCCTGAGGTGGCTTTACAGAAAATTGCAAGGATGACCTAACTCTCCCAAAAGTATTTCTGTCAGAAGCGGAAAACCCAAAATTCTGAGAAGGCGCACCTCCAACTTTGAGAGCTCATAAAATCTTTCGTATGCGACATCTTGGAAATTTGTGAAAAGTTTTAGAAACTTCAAATATTTCTCTAACAAAAGATTATAAAAAGTTAAGTGATTGTCCCCTTTTTCAAAAATTTGCCCCGTTCGAACAGTTCCCGTGCAAAACCGAGTTTTTAAGCTTTCAGCGACTATAACTCACTTCATTTTGATTGCTGTGTTTCCCTCTTTCCATGGGGTGAAAGAGCAGGTTTTGCTCTTTCTAATAAGCCCTAAACCATTTTTCAAAGTTCATTTTTCGAGAAAATCCCACGTTCGAACATTTCGGGCGGTTTTGCCGAACACATTCTTTGAAATCGCGAGTTTTTGGGCTTTCAAGCGAGCATAACTCACTTCATTTTCATTTCTGTGTTTCCCTCTTTCCATGGGGTGAAAGAGCAGGATTTGCTCTTTCTAACAAGCCCTAAACCATTTTTCAAAGTTCATTTTTCGAGAAAATCCCACGTTCGAACATTTGGATCCCATAGGTTTTTGAGCAGCACATGCGAGGTTTCGAGCTTTCAGCAATAATAACTTCCTTCAAAGAGCATGTTGGAAAGAGGCGAAGACATTTTTGAAGACCGCGAGGTTTCTTCTTTCTTATGTGTTTCACGATTTTGTGGAAGAACCGTCCGTAGAAAAGTAGGTTCCCGAAGAAGTTCAATTTCAGCCACAAGAAGTCAAACCTTTTCATGGAGATGCATTCAACTGTTCTCTATTCCTCAAGGAAAACACCGTAATTTGCCCAAAACTGTCTCTTTGTGCATAATTAATCGAATCTAATGCGGTCTGCACAAACAATTCTTGCCCTCGGATACGCCACGCACGCGCCTGTGGCTGGCAGTCCACGAAGTTGCGACCCCCTTCCGACCAAAATGCGACCCCTTCGTTCGAACAGTTCGAACGGACGGTTGACCCTGCCCCCACCGCTTCGGGAGGATGAGCATACGGCCCCTGGAGCGTACCCGGGTACTGGACGAGCGCGGCAGCGCTCAGCTGATAGAGTACAATTTCTCCTTTTTAAATGAGACCAAGTATTATGCTAGTCTTGGACTAGTGAAATTACCACATCAAGGTATGCCAGTCTTCTGAATAAACGGCTAAGTTGCTCTGGCTTGGTACATCTAGCGCGCACTTCACGTAGCGATAGAGTTTCTATGGCCAATTGCAACGGCTTCAATAAGTTAGGAACTAGCCGTTCAGATTGGAAACGAAGCAGATTAGCTGTACACTGTATTACAAGGCAAAATTACTTTATGAAGATCTGCTTCTCTGCACATATTCGTGCCCTAAGTAAAAAATTGATTGTTTATAAAGACGAGCTGGTCGAATAGCGGTTTAAATCCCATGTTATCATTCAACATAAAGTGACTCTATTCGAATGTCCTTTGATCATACACTAGTTGAAAGATGTTTAAGTGGCACAGTTTATCTGAATTTTATCAATTTCAGCCAGAGCATCCACTTCTTGGTGATCAAGTCATGTTGGTGTGTCCGTTACCGAAAGCAGTACCACAGCCAACCATAAATTGGCTTTTGGTGAGTTGCTTATACCTCACACATGTGAACTACCTTGTATTAGGCTGAGTCATAAGTGATTGCCAATTTGAAATTTTTTTTTAAAAGTTCACAACCTTCTTTTGAACCAACTTGGTTGTGTGGGATACTAGAGTTTTTTCTGCTTTCCTTTTGGACGGCACATAGTACACAATCAGGAGCGTGGCATTCAGTGAGAGGCGGGGGGGGCGCTTATCGTTGCGGAACCTTTGCTGTTTGCTAGGGCCTCCTACAGGAAATTTCATTCTCTGTAGGAGGCGAGATCTCGGTCGTGGAATCATGCCGCCTACGCCCCACGCCCGGAGCTTACCTCCTTAGTGCGAAAAATGGATTAATTTAACGCGCGTTCACGGACTTTAGCCCACACTGACTTTCTTTAGTTATAAACGCACGATAAATTGCTTTGCGTGTGCAGGCGGCTTCACCCGGAGCATGCTCTTGAACCAAGTGATGTTTTAAATTGCAGGATTCGTCGGAGTTAAGGTGGAAGCACCACTCGGAGCGCATTTACAGGGGTGTCCCCCAAGAGGCCCGTCCGCGCGGTGAAGGAAGAGACGCAGATGCGGCAAAGGACGAGTCGCAGCGCGTGCTGTGCGATATGAGACGTAGTGTGGTACACTCTATTTAACCTGACGCCTAACCGCTACAGTATGCGCTGCGACTCGTCAGTTGATTAAATTTTATGGGACGAGGGACATTTCTTCGCACCTCATTAAGCGTGCCTCCAACCAAGGCGCGAAGTGACCCAATTATGAGTGAAGGCACAGAGGTCACTTGCTACGCCTTGTCTCTAGAGATCGACATAAAAGAAATTGGCATATTTGGAAAAAAACTATCAGAAATACGGAAAAGGCAACCTGGGAGACAAAACAAGTGTCATTTACTCGCAATGAAATTGTGGAACAACAACAGTGGACTGATCACCAGTGTATGGCGTAGCCTCAAAACTATAGGACTAAAATAGATTTTAGTAGATTCAGATGCAAAAACGAGATGAAATGGGTGGTTTGAAAGATGGGCAGGGTAGAACGAACGCTCCAATACGGTTAGCAATGCTTTCTGGGATTCCTGTCGATTATAGAAGAACGACAAGCTGTGGATGTTCATCATAGCTTTTTGGCCAAGTTAAACTTCGCATTTTGGGGAAACATTTCAATTTCACCGAACAGTGCCCAGAATTTCGGTCTTCCTTCAAATCCATTCTTTCAATGGATGTTGTTTAAGATTTGTGGAAGATTTTCCGAGGTTATTCCTGAATGGAGAATCAAAGAAACCTTGTTTGTGAGGAGAAATTCTCTCAAAACTGAGACATTTTTTGATCGAAAGTGTAGCCACGTCCACTGGAGCAAGAACAGTTCCTTTGTTCGTTATTCCTTACTTTGTGTCTGCGTTTCTCCAAATGTTTTTCGCTTCATATGAGTCTAATGAAAAGAAAAACCTTTAATGAGGAAAGAAAAACTCGAAATAAAATAAACAGAAAGTAAGACACGACAGACAAAAGAACTGATGTTGCTCCAGTGGACGTGGCCACTTTCGAGCAAAAAATGACTCAGTTTTCGAAAGATTTTCTTTTCACGAACAAGGTTTCTTTGATTCCATCGAAGAATGACCTCGGAAATCCTCAACATCCCAAACAATATCCATTGAAAGTTTTTTTTCTGAAAGAAGACTGGAATTCCGGGCACTGTTCGATGAAATTGAAATGTTTCCCCAAAATGCGAAGTTTAAATTGACCAAAAAGCAATGATGAACATCCAGAGCTTGTTCGTTGTTCCATAACCTACAGGAATCCAGAAAAGATTGTTAACCGTATTGGAGCCTTGACTTAATTTTTTTCGCAACATACTGCTTGACGATTCCTGGTCCCTTTCTTGCTCCAGTTTACCCTTTTTCGAAATCCAAACTGTCTTTTTTCATCTTGTGGGAACATTAAGGTGAAAGCCTGATTACTGCAAATCAGTTTCATGAAGCAAAAATGAATTTCAACGAAGAAACACGGGGTGGCTGTATCATTTTTGAACATAGGAAAATCGACCTCTTCTGAAAAAATAAGCACAAAATTTTTAGTGTTTTCGACATGGATTTTTGTGTTGATATCTGAACTCGCCATGAAATTTGTCACATTTTCTATCTGGACAGATTTCCAGAAACTCTATGAACTTTAAGTTTTCGAACAAATTTTAGGTGGCTGTATCATTATTGAACGCAGTGTATATCACGAACAAAATTATATAATATTTTTGTGTTTACATGTTGATTCCATATGCTATATATGAGAGATCTTACAGTCAATCAATAATAATAACTAATAAAATTTTCCTAATACTTAATTTTTACTGAATCGCAGTATGTATCATAAACTTCTAATGATAGCGCTTTTCCAATATGCCAATCTCTTATGTCGATTTCTAGAGACAAGGCGTAGCAAGTGACCTCTGTGCCTTCACTCATAATTGAGGTCACTTCGCGCCTTGGTTGGAGGCACGCTTAATGAGGTGCGAAGAAATGTCCCTCGTCCCTATTTTCCCCCTCCCGCTGCAACTCGTTCGCCTTGCCCGCGTCTGTGTCTCTTCCTTCGCCGCGCGGCGGACCTCTTAGGGGACACCCCATTTCCAACAATGTCCAATATGTTTATCAAAACAGCACCGACTCTTAGCCATCGCGTCCACTGCCTTTAATCCATGTTTCTGCCCCTTTTTCTGTTGTGTTCTGTGATTTGGTGTATTCAAGACCTCATTCTTGATTTAATTACAGAATGGTGAACCAGTAGCGCACACATCAATGGACGCCCAAACATACCCTAACGGCACATTGTTTATACGGCATTTTTCAACAGTTCATAATGGTGTCTATGAATGCGTCGTGTGGAATTTCGCCGCTCGGACATCAAGCCGAGTTGTGATCGATTCCAAACAAATAGCAAATCGAAACAGTAAGCCAATTTCACAAATTATCCATGAATTTCATTACACCTGTGAAATAAATGTAACAAAATATCTATGAATTATTTAGCGTTCTCTCAAAAACCAGCGACTGCAAGTTGTTCCCTACTTTTCCGTAGCAGTGTTTTATGGTTTCTTGTAGGATGTTTAGTAACGAGGTGAGCGGCTTGTTTTTTTTTTCTTGAAATAATGACAAAGCTCGCAATTATAGTGGGAGAAAACGAACATTGGAGGGGTGGCGTTGGTGAAGCGCTCGCAATTACCTTCCAGCGTCCTTCCTAGAGACGCCCAATGGAGTCATGAAAACTGCCTCTTAACTGTCGCGTCCACTGCCTTTAAGGCCTCCATTTCACGTGCTCAACATGGTCCACGAAATGGATCCAGGCCTACAGTCGCGCATTTGGGTAACCCATCAGGGGAGTTCACCCACAGTGCTTCCCGATAAGTGGCCCTTAATAGCGCGTACTTCCAGAAGAGGACTTTTCAGAACCTGCCATCACTTAGGTAGTATTTCTAACTGACGGTGTGTTTATGCACCAATCTTACTCGGAGTTTCACAATTCTAAAGAGCAAGTTAAGGGGAAAAGGCGAGGTTAGACTAGTGTAGTACTTGCGTGGGACGATCATCAATTTATCACTACGACTTCAGCGGATATTGATTGATATTGTTGATTGCATGATCATTTATGTCTTTGTACTCTGCTTTATTTGCAGTTGTTCGGTGCTGATCTACTTGCTGTGTGCTTTGGTTCTTATTCGGCCGAACACAAGAGCCACGATGGTGCCGTCGATGTGGGCTC